TATTTCAACTTCTACAATTTCTGCTGCCGTTAAATCAACGAAAAGACAATTTCGACACAGAAATCTTGACGGAGACTTATTCTTCCTGAAAAAAACTTAAAAGTTTTTATTTTTTTTATTTTAGAATTTTTGATTTAATTCACTTTTAAAATGTCTTGACCTAAATAAATATCCTATTCGACAACCGTTTTTTCGGGATATTCGGGCTTAACCAATTTTATAAGCGACTTAGTTTCGAACTTATATCGTTTTAGAATATTCTAGGATCAAACTCAACTAGCTCTCGCGGCTATAATATTGTGCTCTGGGAATTGAACTTATACCATTGTGTTTTGCGTCCTTTTACGAGGTTGTGCTCACTCTTTGATGTTTTGATCAATTTTGAATGTATGTGGATGATGGCATTGGGCATCGTGAGCATTTTCGCATTTTCGGGATTCCCACTCATTTCATTTGAAAAAAAAGTTTACAGTCTTTTCATTACTTCAAGCAAATCAACCGTCTTGACCACCCCTGATGGCAATGCAGGTCTCCCAACGAACTCCCATGCTATTAACGAGATTGATGCAACCTTGAGACAATAAATACCACTCCATTAAAAGGCATCTTCTTTAAAATAGTTTTCCACCCTGAGATGCTGCTGGAAGGTAACATTGACCTGCAAATGCTATGTCAAGAGCATCCCAGGCATGATCTATGAGATTCAAGTCTGGAGATCTGCTGGTCATTCCATTCTCTGAAATTCTTCAGCTTCAAGGTATTTCTTGCTAGAGACATTAACTAGAGACCTAGACATTAACTAGAGACCTAGACTTACAGCATCTCTGGACAATATTATAAAGGGCTTGGTTTGGTTCACTATTTGAGTTCTCTTAAAAAATATATTTCGCTCTCAGGAAGTATCCTCCTGTTACAAAGAGATACAATGATATGAAATTTCTGTTTTAGCGTACAATTTTGAAGCTGCAAAATGTAAAAATGTAGACTCCAGTAAGAGAAGCGTGATTTAAAGTTTTAGGGAAAGTACTAGAAAGTAATGAATTGAAAGTAAAAATTTCATATTTTGCTTAGACTTTTTATTTCAACCGGGATTAGTCCCGACAGTTAAACAAAGTCTTTCTTAAATACCGCCCTAAATATATACACCCTAAGTAGATGCTTTTATAATACTTATAAATTAATAAAGTTGTTGTTTCTAACGTCACTTGCCAATGCAACCAAGCCTGCCTGGTAAAACCAAGCGATTTTATAGCAGAGGGTGCGTTTCTTGTTTTTCAGTGGCTCCATCTATGGCCAAGATTCGGTCTTTAGCCGCACATACACGTCATATCCCTTTTTACAGGGCGAACCCATTCATACATCCATCCATTCATCCACAGATCGTATTTCTGACCTGAACGAACGAACGTTCAATCTTCAACTCAGTAACCCCACTGTTATGAGTTATTGATTTGTTATGGGAACTTGGAGTACTTTCTAACCCGACAGATTTAAAGCTCATCGATCACTATTTACTGCACGGGATATCTGTTGCCGACGGCAATCGAACTCACAACCTTTTGGACCTGGACCCAACGCCCAACCAACCAGACTATCCCGGCCCGTCAATATAGTATTCAATACATTTTAAAGGTTGCAAATTTATATTTAAGAGAGAGAAAAACAAAAACGCCATTGAAATCTGTTGAACTATTAGTTAGGAAAACGTTATAAGAAACATTAAAACCTTCTTGATTGCCTGATAAGAAACGGAGGTATTTCTAACAATCACCTTTCAACTCCAAACGTAACACAATCGCCTAACAGGTTGTAATGTTTTTATCCACATCTTTCTCTGTAGTGATTGGATAGATTTTGACAGCATTTTTGGTATCTTCCTCGATAAAATATTAATTTGTGACAAGGATTCCTTTTGACAATAATTTTAAGAAATATATATTAAGGAAGCTATTACTCAATACTTCGAGAGTAAAATCAAATCCCTTCAATCTTTTAATATCCCATAATACTGCTTAGTTACGTACGGTAATGCTTTTGAGAGTAGTAGAATATGAAAATGTGGACATCAAAATTTTCAGAAGTACCTAGACAATTTTATTTGTATTCGTTTATGAGATCACTGGCTGCAGTCAGTAAGCGGGTGGGTGACCACTTTGATCAGCCTGCGTAGGGGCCGGGGTGCGCGGTATTGGTTCTCGTTAAACTGTTCTACCCCAAAGTGCTCGACTTCGAGTGCAGGTCGTCGGGCTACCAAAGCAGGGAAGCCATCCCTTCTTCAGAGGATCAAACTTGCGTATGTGCCAGTATTTTTCTTCGGATCATCAGTAAGGACCGCGGTCAACAGCACATTTGTATAACTTTCATCTGACGTTAAAATCCGAATTGAATCTTTAAAGTTCTTTTTTGTTGGCTTAGGTTGTAATGGGAGGGAAAAAGAAGAAGAAGAGTGCAGCGCCATCTGATGATGTTGCATTAAAAGGGTTGAATCTAATTCTTGGCGTTTCCTGGTCTGAATGGAGTCAATGTAATCGATGCAGTGGTGTGGGCCGTCGTCGAAGAGTTGGTATATGTACAATTAGGGTATGAAACTTCTCTTGCTATTAAAAAGGGTAAATGTTTATTTTTAAATAGTATTTCAGTCTGTAGCACCAAATAGGACCTGGAAAATTAATAATTATAGGAAGTTTTAAATTTATTAATTATGAGGATACTAGAATTTTATTGAATATTATCAATGATTTGTTTTAACAAAACTGAATTATGCCCGAGATAAAATTGCTTTTAGTCTCATCCCGTTTATCATGGAATAATTCACTTGAAATATATATATTTTTTCCATTTAAAGATTCCATACTTCCTGTGGCTGTCGAATGAATGGCTTTAGTTTTGCTATTAGGAAATATATTTCATTTTCTAACCTAACCTTCCTTGTTCCTGGAAAGCTTTCTGTTCCAGAAATAAATTTCAGACAACTTCGGTCGTTCGATTCTAATCTGTATTTAGACTTCTGTTTATTTATTTTTATAAAGAGATTCAAAATTGTTGCTCTTCATTTAACATCACGGAAACATCATTTACCACGCAAGGCCGTAAGCAATTTTCCTCATATGTTCTTGCACTGCAAAAATTGTTCGTTCTGACCCTTAATTGTCATATCAGTCTTACACATTAACAGTTTTGTAATGAAATGTCCGAGCAATTCATTCTTTATTTCTGTAAAAAATAGGACATTAAAGCGTTACAGTAGGATTTAAGCCAGGAGCTTCCTTTATTTCGGAGTAAATAATAATAATAAAAATAAGTTAGCGTTATTTCATAATGAGCGCCGACATCAATGTCTCAGTGTATTGCGTCCCCTACACCAGGGCTTGCAGCTAGATTTTTGAAAATCTATGTGCTGAAATCGTGCAGAGGAAATATGTTCAGACGCTTCAGTAATTTTGTTTCAAAATAACTAAACTAAACATTCGGTTCACGAAAAAATATAAGTGAAGGAAACAGGAGTTGGGAAAAGGTTTTTGTTCATTACACAATTTTCATTAAAGTCTAACCAGCTAATAATCTAACCAAATGGTAAAAAAAAATGCCAGGTAATTCTGATGCAATTTATCAATAAAACTTTTCATCGCCTGAGTATCTGCGGCAAGGCAACTTTTTAATTAATAGTGACAGAAGGCAAACCATCAATTCAGTCATATTCACAGTACCAATCACCAATTTAAATCTTTAATAGAGCAGCAAGAAATTTCAAGTCCACCATTAAGATTAAAATTTCGTTAAGAATTCAGTGTGTAATTCAATAAAGTTCTGAGTCTTGGGCAGCAATTTTACCAGCTGGTGACCAAAGAGCTGCGTTCAGCATTGTTTTACAAAGGTCAATGTGTTATATATCTGTGGCAAGGAAACTTTTTAACTAACAGCGACAGAGGACAAACCATATGAATATGACTATAACATATGGTTTGTCCTCTGTCACTGTTTATTAAAAAGCTACCTTGCCACAGATTACAGGCGGAGGCTCTTAATTGTTTCGTTTTTTGCTTTAACATTTGCCTCAATTTTCGTAGTACATCCGGTTCTATTACGTTCTTCTGAAAGGAAAAAACCTCCAGTCCCTATCCAGGTAGGGAAAGCAGTTTTCTTTGATATTCAACAAGAATGAGTCAAATGTTTATGTTTTGTCCATAAGTTTGGCTACTAGTTAGCTATGTTGCTACAGCAACAAAATGGGAGAAGGGGATAATTACGCATTGTCCATAATATTTAGTGCGATCTGAATATACACCGAAGAGCCATTACATTATGACCACCCTGCTAATAACATGTAGGACCACCTTTAGCCCTCAAAACTGCTAGCACCCGTCGTGGCATTGATTCCACAAGGTGCTGATAGGCAGTCTGAGGTATCTGGTACCAAGCGTTCACCAACTGGTACTGCAATTCCCTCACATTACGAGGGGGTAGCATGACAGCACGAATTTGATTTTCCAAGTAGGACCACAAATGCTCCATTGGATTAAGGTCAGGTGAATTTGGGGGCCTAGACATGACTTGAAAGTCACTGGAATGTTCCTCGAACCAATCCATGACGATTCGACCCTTATGACATGGTGCATTATCCTGTTGGTAAACACCATCCCCCGCATGAAAAACTTTTGCCCTGAATGGGTGAACCTGGTCTGCAACTATGTTCAAGTAGCTTACAGACGTCAGGGATTGTTATGAGGATTATGGGTCCTAATGTGCCCCATGAAAACCTGGGCGAGCCCATTGTTATAGATGGAGGGTGGTCATAGTGTAATGGCTCTTCGGTGTATATGTTCTTAAGATAACTATATAGACTGTCATGTATTAACTAAAGAACTCCCATCGCCAGTTGTTAGGAGCACTATCAGTGACTATGGTTCCGAAGACTCATATGAAGGTATCAAAAATTTATCTTTAAAACACATTTTTTCTTGTTTCCATAGCAACATAGCTTTGTGGCGGAAGGAGTTCCTTAATTAGGCAAACAGTATTTCATCAACTTTAAGTGATATATCAATTACCATTTATTCATGATATTGTTAATTTGGCAGAAACAAAATATGATGCTTCCTTCGAAGCCGGTGGATACGCAAATATTGAACGAGTACAAGAAGGGCATTCCTTGTCGATCACATCTTCTTCCTGAACCAATAAGAAATCTGCCAGCAGTTATCGACAAGAAGAGTGAATTTGTTGTAGGCTTTTGCAAAGTAAGTTGAAAATTGTTACTTACTAATATATAAAATATCTGCATATTTTATTCTGGTAGCAGCACCAATATTAAACATTTTTCTAATAGTATGGATTAAAATTATAAATTAATAATTAAATTTACAAATTAAAATTATGAACTATTTACTTCTGTTTAACTTGACTACAAAAGAGGAAATAAATGATAACGAACAATTGAGTATAGTTAATAGCAATTAAAATATTCTGGCAATTTAACTATTTGTATTACAAGACTTAATTCATCACGAACACTCAATCAAAATGATATTTCTCTATTTATTTCCTTTTTGTTATAAGGTTTCATAAACAGAGTGTTTTGTAGTCACCGCTCTGAATATGTATCTTTAGAATTTTTGTGAAAAAAGTCAAAGAAGTAATATAAAGGTTGCAAATCTATATATATATGAAAAAAACACGCACAAAAAAGTGCAATGTGAGTGAGATGAAAATGTGCAAGATGCAGTGAGAAAAAACATCAAAACCAGTTTGATAAACGTATGAAACAGAGTGGAATTAAAAGGCAATTATAAAAACAGCTCCAATCTCTTCTCTCACCAGGGATTTCACATAGTCCGATAAAATTTTTCGATTTTTATCTCGCAAAAATCTTTTTTTTTTCAAAAATATTCTAAAACACATATAAAAACATGGAATGCGATTATTAAGAAACTCTATTTAACAATCGGGAGAAATTCTAAATTGATAAAAAGGACTACTACACAAAATATGAAAAGATGATCTGAATACGGTGACCATTTTCCGTTATTTTTATGACACGTGTCTTCTTTCACTGTTGATGTTAGTTCCTTCTTACGGATGAATAAATCAAATTATTATAATAAGTCCTACATAGCAGTGAATTGATGTTTAAAAATCGTAGTGGTAGTAACGCCACGGTACACCCCCATCAGAAATTTATCAGGGATAGAAATCGATGAACGGATACCACTAGTTGCTATACTTGTGAAAGACCGGGAGAGCTGGATTAAGGTCACCGGGTTTTTGAGTGCTGAATGTGAGAGGTGCATTAACTTCACGGTCGTAGTCGCTCCTGTGTTGTCTTTAGCAGTCGAGTGTATGCAGTCTGAACAGCAACAGCGCGAGAAGGTGGTTAATGTCGCAGTGACAAGTCAACTGTTCAATGTGAACCATCCATCGAAGTGGGCGTTTCTGTCAAAATAGGCGTGATCATATCACGTCCGCAAGTCAACAATGTGGGGAGAGTAAATATCGACATCGCCAACTTTCTTCTATCAAAAGGTACCTCATGATTGAATCAAGTTAGTGAATTGATGTTGACCAGTGAATTGATGTTTAATAATTGTAATGGTAATAACGCCATAAATGTAATGTTAAACAGAAATTTGATGTTTAAAAAAATGTAATGTGTATAAAAATTACATGAAGCTTTTAGATTATAACTTTCAATAGCTGTATGTAAAAGAAGTTTCTTAGTACGCATATTTTATTTATACCGATTTAGATTTATTAAGATAAGAAAATTTTCAAAATGTGTGGAAATTTTTAGCTTGTGTTTAAAAATAACGCAGAAAGACTCCTTCTCCTAAGAAAAAAATAAAATGATTAATATTTCGAGACGTAAATTAATTAATTTTATGAAAATTATGTAACATCAAACTGACAAATTGGGTGTTAGCCTTTACAAATTTTTGAGAGTGTTGAGTTTGAATGAAAACAACTTTGATTTTAATTCAGAGATTAGTTTGCATTAATTATGTAATAATTTCGCAATCCCAGCAATTTCGCAATTAATTATGTAATAATTTCATTTTAGTTAGAAATTAATCACTTTGGTATAATATTGATTTTAAATAATATTGCATATTAACATATTTTATCAAAATATCGGTAAAAAAAATCAGATTCTCGATCGGTAAAGGTAAAAATAAAACCTAGTTTAAAGTATAAGAAAATCAGTTTTTTACGAAAAATTCCGAATAAAGTTTACTTTAAAGTAGGATTGGGACGATAAATTCTACTTGTAAAGGTCAAGAAACAACTAAAATTTGGATTGTCGTCAAGCACGACAAAGCTCCAGAATAAAGTACATTAGTTCAGGTATGTGAGCAGAATTTCGACTGACGATGAAGTCTGTTTGTCAATAAAAGGACGATCAACTCTGCCTTTAGCAGTCAGTACTTGAACAAACTTGTATTTTTACGAGACTGGGTAGTAGTTGTTCATTTACGTTGCACTAGAGCTGCACGATGGGCTGGGAAACATCCCTGATCCGAAGACATGCCATCACAATTTTGATCCTCTGCAGTGGGGATGGCACCCCCTCTTCGGTAGCCCGTCGACCTGCATGCGAAGTCGAGCACTTTACGGTAGAACAGTATAACGAGGACCCACACCGCTCACCCTCGGTCCCTACGCAGACCGATCCAAGTGGTCACCCACCCACACACTGACCGCAGCCAATGATGCTTGACTTCGGTGATCTGCTGGGAACCGTGTCTGAACGATCAGTCCACTGCGGGACTTTACGAGACTGGGAACTCCATTGGAGATATACATCCGAATGAAGATAGCTAGTTTGAAAGTGCGTTTGCACACACGAAAGAAAGTTAATGAAAGCTTCGTAATTTACTGTGATAAATTCCTTTAACTGTGTCCTAGATTCCTTGTGCATCATTCGGTGGTATAATATCTGTAACGGATCAAACTGGTGCTGTGATTGATACTGTGGATAATAGTAAAGGGGTCTATTCCTTGCACCAACCTCTACCGCCCCTACCAGCACTCGTCAGTAGGAGAACTTTACACGAAGAGGTTGGTAAAAGCATCATGATGACTTGTCCTGGGTAAGTACTAGCTCTATCGCCATTTTCTGGAAACATTTAAGAGTTTTCTTTCATTATTAAACTGAATTTGATAAACATGTGTTAAATAACTATAGAATTGAAAATCAAAATGATGGAAAGATTCTTACAGACACTTGGCTATTTAGAGAAGTGACGACAACGTATGTTTTTTAAAGAAAAAAAACTTTTTATGACTCTGAAAAATTTTCATTCTTTTTAGAAACAACCAAGGGAGATTTCTCATTTGGCGAAATGACTCGTTCGTGATAAATCCATCTAAAGTCCACGTGTTAACCAAAGGCAGAGTTAAAATAGATTTCGCTAACAATTTGCACATTCGAAAACTGCGATTTTCCGATACATCTATATACAGGTAAAAATAAAACTTTTCTTTTTTTTATCCCAATCTCCTACATAGTAATATGGGTGGTGTTTTCTACACCAGGGAACGCTGCAAGCTCTATACCGCCTATACTTCCGGGTTACTGTTTCCGGTGTATTTTAAAGCCATTTGGCTCACAACATGATCATTGTGTTTTGAGATTCTGACGTGGTATTTGATTACTTATTACTTGTGCTTGCAATGCTAACAATGTATTTACAATGCTAAAGGTGCTAACACTTACTTGCAACAAGAACAAACAGTAATAAGCAAATGGAATGAGGTCAAATCAGGACTGCCAAAAAAGCGAGTTATTCAAAATCTAGCAACCATGTCACCTTTTTTAACATTATATCTATAAATAACTAAAACAAATTTTCACTACAAGCTCACCAGAATTACTTAATAACATTAATATCTTATGGAATACGGCAGATTTGAGCTCAGAAATTATCTAATTTACTTCTTTTAACAAAACAAAATTATCCGTTTGAAAATATCGCCTCGCGGAATAAGCTGTAGTAAGCAGTTACAAACTTTCGAACCGGAACTAGAGCAGGTATTGAGCTCGAGACTGTTTACATTTATATTGAAAACACCATCCTCACAGTGGTTCGTAACCACCGCCTCTAAGATCCTTCTCCAAAATGAAGTATAAAAAATTATGGATATCATAAATTATAATTTGCGACTTCTACATATGCTATCGATATCTGAAAAATCACTAGTGAAGTATTTTTCTCACTTAAATATCAATTTGTGATTTCTAATGAGCATGTTTTTTTTACTTAATTTTAAACTGGGATACTGAAAATACATAATAAGGATAGTGATTACGGAACACCCTATGTATTACAAAGACTATTTCAAATATAATATATAAAATCGGTAAAGAAATTTAATGGAGATTACTTAAGAAATTTACATTAAAAGTCACAGAATATACATTATTAGAGCCAGGAAAAGAAAGAAAAAAAAAAACATTATCAAAAGTTAACGAATCACTACTGAGGGAGGAAAGAGTAAAAACATTCAAACCTGCTTGATCTCCCGAACAGAGCGGGACTGAATGACGATAATTTAGAAATCGGAAGAACGTGGATTGAGTTATGTGATTCTTAAATCATGTAAATTCAAATCGGGCTCCAGAACTAAGGGCTTCAATACCCCAAATCCATAACTTCTTAGCATTTGTCACTAAAAATCATATCTTCCCGAGACAAATTTCAATCCATTACTTTCCAGGTGTACGGATACCCTGTAAATACAAGCACTTTCGGGTTTCATCAGATAATTATATCAGTTTCAATAATTTTGATCTCACTTTATTCGATAGCGATTCATCAGGTTTACGAAAGCTTTCATTGGTCAACGGTCAACCCGAGTATGTATGAATGAGCTCGACATAGGTTTTTAAAATACTTTTTAAACATATATTAATACAACTGAAATACATATTTAAAGTAAGAATTTTTAATGGATATATTACGAGGAATAAATTAGTAATCACTCTGTGAGAAATCTTTAATCTTACACAATCGTTAGAAACTGTAACTTCACAAGACTGGAATAAAAATAATTGTTCAAATCATTTCCATAGTATCATTATAACTTATTGCCTTATTTTTCTAATGTATCATTCCATTTTTCTTGATTTGTATTCTATTTTTTCCTTAATCCCAGCTGCTGGAATGATAAGACTTTAGTTGGAACCATAAGACTCCAAGTTATTGAAAAAACTAGTGAAACGAGATTCAGTGCTTATGTTTTAAACCTAGGAATATTTTTCACATTTATAATAATTTCAACGGTAACGTTCACTGTTTGTAGAAATGTAAGACTTGATAAAGAATAAATAAAAATTACTTTAGGAAGCTAAAGACAAAAAGATTATTTTGCTTTCAAGTTCCAAAATTCAGTGATTTATGAAATAGTTTATGTCTTATCACATAGAGCAGAACTAGGATTTTCAGAAATGCGTCATGTTTTAATTTATTCTTCCCTAAAACTTTCTCTTTTTGAACTATTATTAGAGTACATTATTTTTTTCTCATCTTCAAAAATTTTTATGCAGTTTGTAATGTATAGATTTCTTTATTGAATTTTCGATCTCAGTGAAAAATGAAAGCAATTTTTAGAAAGCCTTTTTTTCTTAAAACATATTCGTCCAGTTTATGTGACCATAATTTAGCTAATAGAAATTTAAGTATTTATGGTACGAGATAGAGCTAAAACAAAACTCTTAAGTACTACAAGCAAAATGTTGCAAATTACCATGGGTAATGATACAAAACGTACCCTATTTCATTAACCCTTGTATTTGCAAACTTAATAAATTACCTAATAGTTTGCCCCGCAATTTAAATTTAAGATATTAAAGGCTAAGTTATGTACCTTTTTTAATTGCTATTTGTGAGAGAGTATGGTAAGACTAGGGACCTCAATTGTGTGAAAATTAGTTCTTTTCTAGCAGATAAAACTCTCAGGGGTGATTGTGAGAGAAGGAAAATTTCATGCTCAAAAAATCGATATAAATTTGTATATCATACATGTTTCGTATTTAACACATTTTTTTTTTAAATACGATTTATAATTAAATTACCTACCAATGATGAATATCACACATTTATCGCTAAGTTGATTATTAAAATTGCGTGAATAGGAATTTGATACTGGATTTTTAAATTGCATGAATATGAATCGCGATGTACGATTTTGAAACCACGTGAATACAAATCGCAACGTGGAACTTTTAAGTTAGGTAAGTACGAAAATCGTCGCTTGACATTCAAACCGCGTGTATAGGAAATGCGATACTAGCGGATTCCGGAGCAGTTTCAAATATTCAAAATGGCGAAAATCCGCCAAACCAAATAAATCAATTAGATTTCTGCCCATTGGCAGAAGAATCACGTATTTTAGATGTAGTAATTCCGTAAAAATTTTGTCGGATTATAAGTTCTTCAATAGCAAAAGTTCGAGAACCAATGATCTTGAGAAATGTGAAAAAACCGCGATATTCCAGGAAAAATCATATACCTGGCATTTAAAATGTTCTCTCGTTTTTAAAGCTATCCTTTATATTGGCCTAGGGTTATAAAAATTATCTTTAGTCCAGCTTATTATAGTTATTCAAGATACATACTCTAACAAACAATAAGAATTTCATCCAGTAACTGCTTTGTTTGATTTCAAAAACTTCTGCTCTTGGAATAAGACCAAGTACTCCTTTGATGTGTGGCGATGGTTGGCCCACAAAAGCTGCAGTGCAAAAGAGGAAGAAGATAACTACCTCTAAGGCTGAACAAAAGATTTATGGACCCCCTTCTTCAAAGCACAAAAAGTCTAATTTTCATATTTTGTAGAATTTTTGAAGACCCTTCATACAAAATTGTAGTTTTTGAATAAATCCTCAGCGATTTTCTTTAAAAAAAAGAAAACTAATAAGCACAATAATTTTCGTATGGAATTTGGTTGCGCCCTTCTCTAACCACAGACTTAACTACATCACATGTAAATAACATGCACAATTTTCCTTAAATTATCATATAAAATAGAAAGGTCTGCTAGTTTTACACTGAAATACTAGCATTTTCAAATTTCCCATTAATAAGTTTAAATGAATGCCTGGTTTTACTCCACTAGCGGGAGTTAAGACTGAGACTTCTTCTAGGAAAATTAATTTATAAAAAAAAGAAATACATCAATGATTTTTCAGGAATGATAAATTGTACACAACTAGACAATTAATACCTTCATTAAATCAGACAGTTTCTTTTCTAAATTGAACAATTTAGCTCAAACAGGTCTTAGAATCTTAGCCACCTTGTATTACCTTTATTTCTCAGTGGCATTAACCGAAAATTTATAAACAATTTTGATCTCTCTTTCTAAATCAACTCTAACAATTTTCGAGCTCCTTATCATCTAAGGTGCTCTAATGATCTTTGGATTTTGCATTAAAACGGAAAGACTACTTTGTTAAAGATGCATGTTACTATTGTCAAACGTTGTGCTGTTTCATAACTTAACAGCTGGGGAATAAAGATTTAAGTGACATTTCAGGAACTTAGCTTTGATTTGTTACAAAGCAAGAAAAAATATTTTGACTTGCTTCTATTTCTTGTATGCAGCTTCTAAAAGGCAAAATCTAAAATACCCTAATATGCATTTAAATTGTTCACATCAAGTTGTCCACACTATAGGTATTTTAATTTGATCTTCAAAGAGCTTTTTAAGCTTAGTCAACGACTGTTCATTTCCAAATGCACTTGATACCTTCTTTCACTCATTGATCGCTTTAATATTAAAAAAGAACAAACATATTTACAAGAAAACCATTTTATTAAAAAAAATATTAAAAAATCACTACTTCATATTTATTAAGGCAGTTATTCATAAGGCACGTGAATTTTTATCATAACTGGCACCTAATATAAGTAATGAACACATACTGGCAAACATAAATGAAATAAATATTAAAGAGAACAGTAAAATGGACAAATAATAAAGAAAAAAAAAACTACACAACGAAATACATATAAGCTTTACACAAAATGGAATTTTAAAATAACCTTCAATAGCCTTTATCCAGATAAAAACAGTCATGTAAGAATAAGAAATATAAAATAATATTCATTTATAAACAATTTTAAAAGCTTCTGTATCAGTGCAGAATCATAACCGTGCAAAAGATTTAAACATTAAAAAAAAGAAATAATTCAAATAAAATATAAGTTAACACTGCATTTAAGATATAAATTTTATGCAAGAAAAATAAAGGGATTTATTATAATACACATCTTGATGCAGAAGTAAAAACCTCCTGATAGAAGAAATTAATGCAAGTTTTTATAGTAATACCTAAATAAATCGCACACATTAAAAATTCCCTTAAGAATATAGTTTCATCTATGGGAGAATTTAGTGAAATTTTACTATTTATTTATTATTCACATAGTTTAGTTAGCTAACTGTTGAAAGAGTACACTTATCACAGATTACTTTATTAAAAATAGTTAACATTTAATACAGAAATTGAATTAATCAAACAAATACAATATTTCAAATATACAAAGACCTGAAAACTTTCTAATATGCAAGGTATTTGTTACAGTATTTTTATAATCAACCAATAAAAACATAAATGATTATAAGTACTTACATATATATATATCGATAAATTTCGTTTTTTGAAGAAAAGAAAAAAAAGTAAAGATGAGGTTGAAAAAAGGAATGTTGGATGTTGAGGTAAATATTTAAAGAGGGAAATGAAGTGAGAATATTTTTCACATTTCATCTTTCCCTAAACTATCATTTGATCCTTTTAAAAATTTACCAAAAGAACTTACACTCAAGTATATTTAGGTACATTTTAAGTTTAATACAAATACAATAATACAGATTCTAAAAATAAGATTGGAAATTTTTTATAATGATTATAGCTAGAATTTGAAATTTGCTTACCCATCCTATGTTTTATTCACACAATTATTTTAATTTCAATATCTAATTAAGTATACAACGATAATCATTAATAAAATCATTGTCATTAACTCAGCTGCTTTTTAATCAAATTCTCAAAAAAAAAAAAAAAAAAACCAGTTTTAGTCTTTTAAATAAATTTTTAGATACCATTTGTTCTATAAACATCAGTTCATTGCTAACCAAGTTACAATATTTTTCACTTAAAAATTAAAGGGAGTGGCCTTTTTATCAGTATAATTAAACTTTCAATGGTCATTGCTTTATATTATAATATTTATCACTTTAAAGGTAAAGGGAGTGGCCTTTTTATCAGTATAATATAAAATGTCAATGGTCATTGCTTTATATTACAATATTTATCACTTTAAAGGTAAAGGGAGTGGCCTTTTTATCAGTATAATAAAAATTTCAATGGTCATTGCTTAATATTAATATTTTTCACTTTAAAGGTAAAGGTTTTCCCCCCCTCAGCTCTCCCCAAACATACTTTATACAAGCCTATTTAAAAAACTTCGTTTTGATATTTGTATCATTTCACCAGAAGTATTGAATCAAAACCTTATGTGGAACATAAGTTTTTTTTCTTCTTGTTTTTATACACATTTTAACAGTTTATTTTAAATTTTTAAAAACAATATCTATTTACTTATAAAATGAACATTTCGGTCGAAATATTTTTTTTAAATTGTTTAAAATTCAGAAAACTTTAGAAAATTAATAATACAATAAATTTGCAGAAAAACTACAAAGTTAGCTTCTTTTACATGAACTAGAATAAAACATTTTTCTTAAAAAATAGAGTCTCATAATCAGCGCACAATACCCCTGCAATCTTTAATTATAAAATAATTTAATCATCAATTTAAAAAAAATAAATACTGAATAATAGAGCTAAAAGTTTTTAAATTTGAATTATTTCCGAATTGAATTAGATATATTATTTGAATTAATTAATTCAGTCGCCAGGTCTTTGCACATTAACAATGTAAATATGAAATTATGATGTTAATCACAGCAATGAATTTTAAAACACAACTACGTGACCACAACAAAGATACTGTAAAATAATTTATCAATTTTCATCTAATAAAATTACTGAGAAACATACAGCACAATACAAACTAAAAGTCTTATTTTAAAATGCAACAAGACAGGGGTAGACAAAATTACTAATGGAAATACACTATTTATTTTTGTGAGAAAGGTGTGTATAAGAATAAGTAATTAAGTACTTATGACTTAACTTTATATAAATAAGATACAAAAGGCTATAAAACAATAAAATATGCAAACTTTACTATAAAATATTTATGTAACTTAAGTCATTGAAACTTTAATCTGAAAAAGATAAAAATTTAAAATTTTTGAATTGCTATAATAATTCACTTTTATTGATCTGCCACCAAAATTCAAACAAACTCTTCAAACAGATAATTGAATTAAACAAACGTCTTAAGATATTACTCAGTTATTTGAAATTCTGATGTCTATCAAATTATTTGAGTTAAAAAAAAAAACCTGATTCTTATGGATACTTACAATATATTGTACAAAAATTGTACATAAATTCAAAGAGGCTGGTGGCATTGGTAGTAGTATAATTTATAATAGTAAGTAGTTGTATAGTTTACTATAATAGAAAGGGTGGTTTGTTTTTGTTCTAATTCAATACTAGTAGTGAACCAAGATTGAAATTTTGGTTTTTAAAGTTTTCTCTAGTTAAAGTAGTTCGTAAAAAGCTCTCTTAATGTTAAACAATGGATTGATAATCCTTACCAACTAACAGAAATACATAAGTACTAAACAAAAATAAAAATACACTAAGTTGCTACAAAATATGACTAACATGTGCTGGAGTCAACCTTAATTAATATTTTAATAATTTTATCATACCTTACTAGAATATTATTTTTAGTACTTGAAGTGGAATCAGATACAAATATAGTGACGTTCTGCCTTAAACACAAAGCCAAGATGAAAATAAAAAATTCTTAAAACATTAAGTCGGATAAGTAAAAAAATATATATATACTGAAAGGGGGAAAAAAAAGGCAGTTTTGAAATTGAGCAAACAGACAGTTATTAAACTATCACAGATATTTAAGGCACATTTAGTTTTTATATTATAAATATTTATATGAGAAATGACTTTAAAAATATGATTTAAAAAATGACTTGATACAAAATATGACTTGAATTTCAAATAGGAAAACTGATGTACAGACTAACTTTTCAATTGTAAACTATTATGAAACAGCACCTCCATTCAATAAATGACTGTACAATTGCCTAAAAAAGAAAATTTCAATTATTTGCTTTTAATGAAAATGTTAGGAATATTAGACAGAGTCTAAATTATTGATTTAAGGCTGAACTAGTCTAATATTTACAGGGTTGCCACAGTAAAAAATGAGCCAAAATAGTTGCTTTTAGTAGCCTCAAGCATGAAAATAGTTGCCTAAAACAATGAAAATAGTTGCATGAACAGGAACAAAAATCTATCAAAAATAGTAGCCAAATAACTAAAATTATAGCTTAATTGAAAAATACTATGACTAGGACTGGGTGATGTCAGAAATTTTAAATTGTGATACATCGTCAGTTAGACATCGCGTTAAAGTGATGTATCGCGATTTAGCATATGTTCAAAAATTACCTATGGGAAATCTTTCAATCAATCAAAAATTAATAAAAAGGAATAAATCTATTACGAAAGAAAATATTAATTCTAAACATATTCTACTATGACCCCAAGCTTTATTTCATTTTTCTTGAATTAAAAATAATTTAAGATTTATTGTTTTAAAAATAATAATACTGTAACAAAATATTTTACATACATGCAATGAAAATTAAAAGAAAAAAAAACGAAAGTGGAAAACAAACCAAAGAAATGTTTACTTTAGAAAAA